TACAGTACCCTGGAATCAGCATAATACTAATAAGAATGGGCATAGTTTAATTTATAGTTGGTGAGTGATATCCAACATTACTGTTAAAATAAATGGATTCCTGTAACTTAAATTCATTTATTTCATTCAGTTTGCTCTGAGTATGACTTAGTCAAACATGACCTCTTGTTTTTGTAATTTTGGAATGAAATGTCATTGGTTTGATCCTCAGTATATACTGTATGATCTTAAATTCATTTAAGGTTGTTTTTTTAAAAAAAGATGGCATTTGTTTTTATTTTCATTACATATTTTGTGTTTTTATATTGTGATGTTATGTTGTAACTGCCCTGAGACCTGTGGGTACAAGGTGGTATACAAATTTAATAAATAATATAAAATCTCCCATTTAGATCAATGCTATTAAGCATGTGCTGCTTCACTCTTCCATTAAATTGACTTAAGAGATTTTGCCTGTAATTTTTTTTAAAAAAAACCTTTTTAGTAATAGATTTGCAAGTCTTCTTTGATTTCCTTCCCTCATAATGTTGTCGGAAAAATAAAAAATAAATAAAAACAAAAATATATAATCTTATAAATAATGTTTATAATGATAAAATACAAGTAAAATAAGAATCATTAAAAGAGCAAGAAAACAGCACCAGATCAGGTAAAGAAAGAAAAGAAAAGAAAACAAACAAAACAAAACACAAGAAAGGCCACCGTGAAACCCATCCCCAGCTAATCAACACTGAAAAACTGTTGCACTTCCTCAACAGTTAAGAAGTTAAGATGTTCTGAGGTAAATTAGGGTACTTTTAGCACTACAACACCCATGAGCAATATGCTGTGTGTAAATGTATACAGTAGAAGTTTGCTTTGGGCATAAAACCATTGACAAGCAGGGCTTTTCTTCAGCCGGAACTCTCCAGAACTTAGTTCCTGCCCCTCTCAGGTGGGCGCCATTGCCATTATAAGAGAACAAGGGAGGCGTTTGTGGTGATTTCCAGCACCTCTTTTTCTAGAAAAATAGCACAAGGTACTCTTGTCTATGACCCTGAATAGTGATATCAAAGTTCAGGTTGACGTGGGAACTTCTTGAGTTTACCTCAGGAGTCCAGTCAAGCAGAGTTGCTTGTTGCCCTCCCCGCACCACACTTTCACATTTGCAGATCTTAACCTTCACGATGGATGCCTTCTTATCTGACAGGATCGAGAAGAAGGCTTCTTTCAGTTCTGCTTTAAGTGACTGCTTGAGTCAATGAAGGCTAAGGAGATTGAAGGGAAGCTGAGTCCATTTCTTTGCAACTGCTTCCGCTGTGGAAGATTCCCTGTGCCTTATCGGACATTCACAGGATAGGGAGTCTGAGGCAAACGTTGGTGGCAAGATACGAAGTGATATGCCTCCATGACAAAAACTGAGAAATCACTAGTCTGGATGGTGTCTACCCACGAGTTTTGAAAGAACTCAAGTATAAAATGGCTTCTCTCTTAACACAAATCATTGTAGCTCGTCTGAGAGCAACTTTGATACCTGAAGACTGAAATGCGGCCAATATAAACGCTAATTTTAAAAAAGTGATCCAGGAAGGATCTGGGAAATTACAGACTTGTTAGCTTAATATCTGCTCCAGGGACACTGGTGGAAAGCATTGCAAAAGATAACATTACCAAGTCTTGCTGAAAGAGAACCAGCATAACTTCTGCAAAGGTAAGCCGTGTCTAACTAAACTTTTAGAATTCGTGTCAATGCGAATATGGATAGGGATTGATACAGTAGACACGGTGCCCTTGAATTCTCAAGGTCTCAGGGAAACCAATGAATTGAAGTCCCATATTATCAGGGCGGTTTTTTCAGCCGGAACTCTCCGGAACTTAGTTCCTGCCTCTCTCAGGTGGGCACAATTGCCATTCTAAAAGAACCCACCACTTCTTTTTCTAGAAAAGTAGCACTGCATATTATGATATCTGGATTCATTCAGGTCTCATTCCAAAATAATACGTTAAAAATAAAAACATTGTCATATTCCAGTGCCATTCCTCAGATTCACAGTGTTATTCAAAGAACATTTGTTAAGGAGTAAGACCATTGAGCTCAATGGGAATTATTTCTGAGTAAACAGGCTTAGGATGCCACTGTAAGTAATTGTTCAGCTCCGGAAGTTCTGATATCAATAGGCTTGTAGACGATCTCTTGGAAATCTCTCTCTGGGGATAACTCAGTTGGCAAAGCATGAGAACCTTTATCTCAGGGCCAGGGCCCTGAATTGTGGGGGCCCAGGTAAGCCCCACCCCACATTATTTGATCGCATGACACAGTGCACACACGCCATTTGAATGGAATGTCCATCAACTTTGTGGGGGCCCACCCCCTCAAATATTTTATTGTGGTGCTCCTATGCTCAGGGCTGTGGGTTCAAGCCCCACATTGGGCACTGCAAGGGGGTTGGACTAGAAGATCCCTATAGTCCCCTTCCAACTCTATGATTCTCCTTCTGCCACACTCACAGGCACATCTGGTGGGGACGCGGTACAGGGCCTTTTCAGTGGCTGCTCCCAGATTCTGGAACTCCCTTCCTAGAGAGGCTAGACTAGCTCCCTCCTTGTTCTCCTGTTGCCTTCAGGCGAGGACTTTATTATTATTCTGGCAGGTTTTGGGGAACTGGCTCTTTTTAAGGAAAGGGCTGCTCTATGCATTTAAATTGATTTTTTTAATGTCATTTTCATTCCCTTATAATTTAATTAATTTTAAACTATTTTTTTCCTGCCTTTATAGCTATCTGTGTTTTACCTGTTTTGGTTCCATTTTTGTGAACTGCCTTGAGTCCCTGTCCTGAGGAAAAGCCAGAACACAGAATCATATAATTGTAGAGCTGGAAGGGACCCTGAAGTTCATCTAGTCCAATCCCCTGCAATGCATGAATGAATATGCAACTGTCCCATATGGGGACTGAACCTGCAACCTTGGTGTTATCATCACTATGCTCTAACCAACTGAGCTATAAATAAATACAACAACAGCAACTGCTACCTGAGCATTTAGCTGTCTATGTTGGGGATTAAATTTGGGACTGTCTGCATACAAACCATGTTCCTTAGCATTAAGCTGTGTGGCATGTACAGTTTGTGAGGAAGTTCTTCGCACAGTAGTGCAAGAACTAAAAGCTAAAGTAAGAGGTACATGTTGGTAGAGCTAATATGTCAAGATAAGCATGATACTGAGAGTATAAGGAACTGGGAATGGAATGTGGATAGGTTTGTAACATGCTTGTCATATCTGGGATTTCAGTTTTTAAGCCGTTATAAGTCCTGCTTAGAGACTGTCTTGGCCATAATTTTCCTCTCCTACCTCTGTCTTGTTAATGGATTTAATCTCAGATAAGCAGGTGGGACGCGGGTGGCGCTGTGGGTTAAACCACAGAGCCTAGGACTTGCCGATCAGAAGGTCGGCGGTTCGAATCCCCGCCACGGGGTGAGCTCCCGTTGCTCTGTCCCTGCTCCTGCCAACCTAGCAGTTCGAAAGCACGTCAAAGTGCAAGTAGATAAATAGGTACCGCTGCGGCAGGAAGGTAAACGGCATTTCCGTGTGCTGCTCTGGTTCGCCAGAAGCGGCTTAGTCATGCTGGCCACATGACCCGGAAGCTGTACACCGGCTCCCTCAGACAATAAAGCGAGATGAGTGCCGCAACCCGAGTCGGTCACGATTGGACCTAATGTTCAGGGGTCCCTTTACCTTTACTTTTAAGCAGCAACAGACACCTTGGAATAATGATTCCCAGAAAAGCAGTTTTCACTATTAGGATAGCAAGGATTTGGGCCTTTCTTGCTTTAATGAGGAAGTGGGGTCTAAAGAACCTCAGCTGTATAAGTGCAAACATCATATAGAGTTGTATTTATGACAAAAACAGTGTTGTATATGTTTGCAATTCATGTCATAAATTCTATTGTTTATAGCATTATAAAGATGTGCATGGTTTGGGGCAATATTAACCTTCTTCATTAGCTCAACATCCAAGTGAAAGAGGACACTTCTACCCTCATTCTACAGGTAGGGAACTGATACCAGGATTTGCCTCAGTCTCATGAGCTCATGACAACATAGATGTTTGATCCCAGGTCTAATTCCAACACGTTTTTTGCAGATTAACAGTGGACTTTCAGACACTAAAGTTTGGTCCCAGGGCATTGTCTGAGGGCATGTAGCACAGCCATTTAGCTGAAACTCAGCAGACCCGAGTCTGGCAAATGCCTGGATGAGATACCACCTGGGGACCCCCTTACACGTCACCACAAGTTTCATGATGGAAGAAAAGTGCAGGATATAAACAACATTTTCAACAAGAAGTGCACATTTCCAAGGTGGAAGGAAGGTGCCAATGTGCAGCTGTTCTCTTGGGCTTGATGGCAGCAGCTATTGATGTGCTACTCATCTCCTGGCATTTTCCTAGAATTGTAGCATTGGAAGGGATCCTGAGGGTCATCTAGTCCAACCCCCCTGCAATGCAGGAATTCCTTTAGGATCTTTTGCATCAGGAGGAAGCCTGGATGTGGTAGGCATATAATTTCTCCTTCTTCTGGCATCTTTGAGATAATGTTTAGCTTCATTTTGGCAGCCCCAGGTCTAAAGGTAAAGGTAAAGGGATCCCTAACCACTAGGTCCAGTCGTGACCGACTCTGGGGTTGCGGCGCACATTTCGCTTTATTGGCCAAGGGAGCGGGCATACAGCTTCCGGGTCATGTGGCCAGCATGACTAAGCCACTTCTGGTGAACCAGAGCAGCGCACAGAAACGCCATTTACCTTCCCGCCGGAGCGGTACCTATTTATCTACTTGTACTGGCGTGCTTTCGAACTGCTAGGTTGGCAGGAGCAGGGACCGAGCAACGGGAGCTCACCCCGTTGCAGGGATTTGAACCGCCGACCTTCTGATCGGCAAGTCCTAGGCTCTGTGGTTTGACCCACAGCGCCACCCACGTCCCTCTAAGCCCCAGGTCTAGACAAGTAAAATTAACTCTCTCTCCTGCTGTTAGAATAACTCAGTCAGTAGAGCATGAGGCATGAGACTCTTAATCTCAGGGTTGTGGGTTCGAGCCCCATGTTGGGCACAATATTCCTGCATCGTGGAGGGTTGGACTAGATGATCCTCGTGGTACCCTCCAACTCTACGGCTCTGTGGTTCTCCGCGAGCAGGGTCTTCCAAGGAATCTCTCATTCCCACCCACCCCCTTTCCCTCCAACTCTGAATGTGTCACGCTGTGTGTGTGGGTTTTCCTTGCCTTTTTGGTTAGCATGCAGGGATGCACTTCTCCCTGGAGGGTACAAGTGGCAGGCTGGGTCCAGCATTTTAAGCTGCAGCACGCTAGGTGAGAGAAACGGAGGAGAGGGGGGTTGGGTGGGTGGGGGGACAAGGCAGAGACTGCAGTGACACTGCCTTCCCTGGGCTGGCTGAAGCATCTCACTGGTGACAGGCTCGGGAGCACGTGGCTACGTCATGGAAAGCCAGGCTCCCCATGCAAATCTCAACTCCTCCTACTCCCGTTGAAAGCCTGTAACTCATAGCCCAGGCTCGGGAGCAGAATCCAGTGTGTGCCTGCGTCTTTCTCTCTCTCTCTCTCTTTCTCTCTCTCTATCTATGTGTGTGTGTGTGCATGAGGGGGGAGGATACGTCTCCGTTTCCCCCTAATGCACGCCAGTGCTGGACGGAGCAGGGAGAGAGAGAGAGAGAAAGAAAGAAAGAAAGAGAGAAGAGACCTGCCTCTGTCGCGTGTGTGGTTCGCCTGCATGCTAAGGGCTAAAGATTTGCATCTGCTGTGCAACTGGGAACCGCAGGTGCCACACAATTACATACAACCCTGAGATGATTTGATGGTAGAAACCAGCACTTTCCGAGGGGAGCACCTGCCTTCATCCATCAGACTTGAGCTGGGTGGTGGTGGAGGAGATCCGGGCGCTGTGCGTTCTCCCTTCCAGGGGCTGCACTATGGCAGTCTTTTAGTAGGATGCATCCTGCTTTGGCTTTGTTCTGCAGATCCACCCAGCCTCCCAGCCATCAAGTCACAGGCTATGGTTTCCTCTGTGGGGATCTCTCGCGCTTTACTGTTGTCTCGGGTTAGTTTTTGGCCTTGGCTGGAATTTCATCGCCTCATGTCTTGGTTGGCTTCCATCTGAAAGAGAGGAGGAGAAGGAACAGGAACAAGAAGGCAAGCAAGAGAAGGATCTATGTCTTTTTTCTTCTTCCACAGTTTTGGGTGATAATCCAGCGTCGTTCTGGAGGAGGGAGATAACCGTTCACCCTGGCTGAAAAACGCATCCATTGAGAAGTCTGAAAGAAATTAACCACGTGAGGGGGAAAGGGGGGGGAGAAAGAAAGGAAAGGAAGGGGATAAAAAAAAAAAAACAACAACCCTGGGAGATCAGGATTTAATCTTTTTTTCCTCTTTTTTGTTTTTGTTTTGTTTTTGTTTTTTTGTTGTGGTGGCCAATGATAAAACTGGTGCCCCTCTGGAGGAGACCCTGATCTCAATTTTTATTATTATGCAACAACCACAAGGATCTCCTCTTTCTCAGGGTGTATAAGCGCAGGATTGCTTTTCGCCCAAATCAATGTGGTTTCTTTGGAACATTTTCAGCAAAGGATCGCATATGCTGCAGTGTCTTTGTGGCAAGAGTCTTAAGAAGAACAAGAACCCAACTGGTAAGCAATACACTGCACCACTCTGTGTGTGTGTGTGTGTGTGTGTGTGTGTGTGTCAGTCACCCCCCACCTTTGTGTTACTCTCGTCTGTTGCTCCCCATAGCGCCAGGTCTGCAGTCCTGTCGAGGGAAGAAAGGGGGAAATAGGAAAGCAGGCCGGTGCAGACTTGCGTGCAGCGCGGTGTACAAATAAGCCAGGCTGTGTTTGCAGGAAATTCGCCAAAATCTGCTTTGGATGAATTGTTTCCAACGGGGAAGAGAGAGGGTGGGAGGGTGGGTGGGTGTGGGGAGAGAAAACTTAGATCTTTGTTGACATTTTTTAACCGGAAGATGGAATTGTAGCAGTGTCTCATAACCCCCATTTCTTTCCTGGTCTCCTCGCTGCCCGCAACAGTTTCCAGCAGAGGTCTCAGGGCCTTGCGCGACTGGTGGGTGAACCTGAGGGCGCCCTGCCTGAGACTTTCGGTTCAACTTGCAAGCGTGGCTCGTGCTTCTAAAGTGAACGGGGGGGGGGGAGAGAGAAGAGAAACCCTTGCAAAACCCAGCTCTTTGTGTTTATTCACCAGATCTTCGTCAGCTGCCCTTCCCCATCCCCGCATTCCCCCTAGCCTGCAATCTGGTGGCAGAGAGAAAAGAGAGAGAAACACTTTCAGGGAGTTTGTGCCTGGAAGGGAACTAAGAGAAAGTCCACCTGTCCAACAGTAGCCTAGGCAGAGAGGTGTGTGTGTGTGTGCAGTGGAGAGTCTCTGAGCAGGACTTTGGGGGGCATAAGCCCAAGGCCCCACTCAGAAGGAGGAGAAGGAGCCCCCCCCCGTCTCCATACGCAGCAGCAGGGCTGACTTGCCACATGTGGAAGGAAGTCATGCAATGCACATTGCCTCCTTAACCCATGAAGCCCAGGATCTAAAAAAGAAAAATGACCTAGCTTTTTGCGCGCCTGTCTAGGTTCACTTTTTTGCGCCTTGTTGATCAGCCCAGCCTGTCTGCTTGTCAGCTTCCAACCCCAGCAAGCTCCAACGGGGAAACTTGCAGGACGTTACATAAGGAAATGCAAATTGCAGGTGCTTAGGGCAGCCCCACAACCCCACCGCCTCCTCCAAGCCTCCCCCCCCCCTTAATTCCCTTTCCCTCGTGTCAACGGGGAAGGACAGCGCTGGCAAATGGAGAGAGTTTGGGGAGAGAGGGAGGGAGGCTGGGAGAAGGAGAGTCTTCCCAAGGAAGCGGCGCCACAGCCAGACAGACCCCCTCCTCCTCCCCGTCCACACACACACACGCAGGCTCAAGCCTGTCGAGTTGGATAGTTGGGATCACCTGTGTGGTCTTGGGCGGGGATCTGCCGTCCCTAGCAGTGCTTTGGAGGGCAAGAGCCTGTGGAGGTTTGTGGGGAGCCTAGAAAGGAGCCAGGGGTGTGGGGTGGAAAGACTCGTGTAGTGTGTGTATGTGTTTTTGGTGTTGCCTGCCCTGCAGTGGCAGTTTCTAAGCAGGAGGCTCTTGACGCTGGTACTGCAGTGTAGTAGATCATAAGCATCCGCTGACACACCAACAAGCTGCAGCAGGGTTGGCAGCTGGTGCTTGGGGGGCAGCCTTTTCCTTCCTCCCTGGCTTCAGACTTGAAATGCAAAGGGACTAACTCTGCATCCCGAGAGAGGGAGACGTTTTGCTCCCTTCGTGTGTGTGTTGGCTCCGTCCGCTTCCCCGCTGCAGCAAACAGAAGCAGCTCCTTCCCAGAATACCAAAGAAGGCTGGATGCCCCAGCAGCCCCTTCAGCTCTCCGGGGGGGTGGGGTGGGGGGTGGGAGAGAGCGAGCGATCGAGCTCGGTCTTCCCTTCTGCACAGGACGAGGCGAGGGTTGGTGGTGGGCTCGGTGGTGGTGGGTTTAGCTTGGCGCTGATCCTTCCTCCTGGAAGGCAACCTTTTGCTCCCCACTTGCAGGCACTGCGGTGGGGGGGGGGGGACGGACAGCACGCTTGGGCCATGGCAACTTTGTGCAACCTTCGTGCAAACGGACGAAGCAAGACGGTGCAATCTTCTCCAGTTTATGTATAAGAAAACAACACATCAAAGCACTCCCACAGGAAGCACTTGCCTCCTTGACCAGCTGAACGACCAGTGAGGAGGATGCCTTGAGGCTGGACTCAAGACAGTCGGAGAAACTGACCTAAATAATAAAGCCCTTTTTTGCCCCCGATTTCCTTTTAAATAACAAAGATGTTGCATCTCTGCAACAACAAAAGAGGGGTAAGGAATAGAAGGTCCCCTTCCCTTCCCCTTGCAAGCAAGAAAAATGCACAGCCTAGGATAACCAGAAGTGAACACAGGAATGTTTTGGACTCCTTTAGATCCCTCCAGGCACAAGCGAGAGAGAGAGAGGTTGCTTCTCAGGATAGTTGTCCAGTTTACTTTATGATGACTTCTTCCAAGGAGGATGCTGTGCTGAGCTTCTTTCTAGATATTTCAGAGATGGTGGAGATTTTTGAGATGCCTAGGTACTCCAAAATGCTGTGGATTCCCTTTCATGGGGTCCAGCCGGAATGAATAAGAATAGATAAGAAACATTATTAGAGGCCTATGGAAATGTACAGGATAAGCAAAACTCTCCTAGGTGATCTCTGTTCTTACCACCCCACTCCGCATTATCCTTAGTCTTTTTCTTTCTTTTTTAAAAAAGTGATTTATAACATGCTGTTGCTGGTTTTCCCAAATCGGGGAAAAATGAAATTCTGGTTCTGGTACGGTGACGCACAACTTAGTGCAAAATGCAAATATTCTATAGCAAGACATGTACAGTATAGCAGTTTTGATTAGGATGGAGGCTGCCTAGTTAAGTGTGAGCAAAAAGCTCAGGTGCTCCATGTTATCTTTTAGTTTCAGCATCACTCTGTTAGCAATGCAGCAACTGGATGTGGATTTTGGTATACGTATACTTGCAAGTTATTTTCTTTCCAAAAGTTGTAGAGGTTTTTTTTGTTCTCTCTCTCTCTCATACACACCAGTGCACACACTCCCACAGCTTTTTGTTGTGGTAATAATGGTTTCCCTCTCCTGGTTTCCGTTCCCTGTTTCTGCCTTAGCTAAAGCCTTTAATATATGCCGCAAGTAGTCTGTGGTCCTGAGGTATGCGTCTGCTGTGAAATTAATTGATCAATTAATGTGAAATATAGGCAAACCCCTCTAAACTGTAAAACAGCCCTGAGGAATAGTCTTGAATATGATCGATCGTGCTCTGTTTGTTATGACTCAGAGGAGGATAAATAGGTTATGATTTTAAGGTGGGAAAGACTTGGCAATGCGTGTGGTGGCTGCATGAATAGATTTCTTTGACAGTAGTTGATGTACTGTAGCAGGTCAATGACTGGTCCATGTTCTAAAGTTTGTCTGAGGCAGCGTTTGCATATGATGCTACGATTCTTGA